AGGGAGGGGGAAGGGGGAGGGGTAGGGAGGTGAGAGAGGGGAGTGGAGCGGAGAGGGAGGGGGAAGGGGGAAGGGGAAGGAGAAGGGAGGTATAGACCTTAGATTGGATGGGTGGGTCACCTAAAGGTCAGTGGCGGTCGGAGTCACCTGCGTGCGTGCGCACGTGCGTGTATGCGTGCTTACGTACCTGCGTGTGTGCGTGCGTGCATGCGTGCGTAGCCGTGACATACATGAGACGTGGATCCATCACGCCATAGTAGGCGTAGCGCTCATACGGTGTATGTCCCCCAGGGTACTGCCGGAACGTACCCTGGGTACGGTCCGGTATACCGGAACGTACCCTGGTCACTATTTGATATGGTTAGGGTTAGGGCTAGAGTTAGGGTTAGAGTTAGGGTTAGGGTTAGGGTTAGGGCTAGAGTTAGGGTTTTTGTTAGGGTTAGGGCTAGAGTTAGGGTTAGAGTTAGGGTTAGGGTTAGGAAGTAGGCGTAGGCGACTCCCCAGAGTCCCAGACTCGTTAGTGGAGTAGGCGAGGTACGGTCCGGCATATTAGATAGTTACCAGAGTACGTTCCGGTATACCGGACCGTACCCAGGGTACGTTTCGGCAGTACCCCGGGAGACATAGACCCTCTCAGCCATAGTAGCAGTAGCACATGCCTGTTTAACGCTGTCCCTTGTTAGCACGCGTATCCTCTCTGATTGCTTACGTAGCACACTTACTTACTGCTTAATGACACACGTAATAGGATGTAAACCCTAACGAACAAAAACGACGACACACGCGCGTTTGAGTGTAAAAATATATATTAGAGAGCCGGCAGAAAGAGAGAGAGAAAGAGAGAGAGGAGAGAGAGGTGAGAGAGAGCGCGCACCAGAAAGAGAAAAAAGGAGAAAGAGAGAGAAAGAGAGAAAGGAGAGACAGAGGGAAAGGAGGGGGAAAGCAAAGAAAAGGAGAGGGAGAGAGAAGAGATGAGAGAGAGAGTGAAAAAGAGAGAGAGAGAGAAAAGAGAGAGAGAGAGAGAGAGAGAGAGAGAGGGGGGGGGAGGGAGAGAATCCATCGAATATAATAAGCTACAAGATTAGCACCATTAGTTGAGCAAGAAACATAATTTCTTTCTACGCGTTCCAATTAGCAAACTTTTCAAATAGAAATCTGCCACGTCATCGCAGCTGCACTTGCGCCCCCTAGAGGTCGCTACGGGTTGTCATAGGCGAACATTCGGAAGCGACTCGCGTTCTTTTTCAAAGCGTTGATCGCGAAAGTCACTCAAAATCCAGACAGACAAAGATAGAGAGAGAGGAAGAGAGAGAGAGAGAGGGAGAGAGAGAGAGAGAGAGAGAGAGAGAGAGAGAGAGAGAGAGAGAGAGAGAGAGAGAGAGAGAGAGAGAGAGAGAGAGAGAGAGAGAGAGAGAGAGAGAGAGAGAGAGAGAGAGAGGTGCAGTTTAAGAACTAAGCGCGGAGTTATCAAAGTAACTAGCGGCTGCCGCACTAACGCCGCGAAAAAAAAGTCGAGTGTCGAAAAAACCTCCGATAACGACGAAAATCGCCATAAAACCCGTAATAGCTCGACATATGCATGGGAGCGAGTAAACACGGTTTTTTTAGCAGCAACGGATTTCTCCGTGCTCGTTATTAGATCGATGATCACGTGACAGATAGATCTGTGACGACGTTAATGTCATCGTCTGACTCAAGGTCATAGTCATTCATTCAATGTCATCTTCCTTAAAGCTGTGTGTGTATGTGTATGTGTATGTGTGTAGCTCACTCTCGTCTGCTTTCTCTTCTCTTCAAGGTCATCAAGATGATGATCGCAGTCGTCGTTATGTTCGCGCTACTGTGGCTCCCTCTGAACACCTTCATGGTCTTTGCTGACATGGTGGCCGGCTGGGCGTACGTGCGCCACCTGTGGTTCGTCTTTCACTGGCTGGCGATGAGTCACGCATGCGTAAACCCTTTCATCTACTCCTACATGAACTCCAAGTTCCGCAACGGCTTCCGGCACGTGTTCCGCTTCCTGCCGTGCTGCCGCCTGCCGGCGACGCCCGGAAGCATCGAGATGTATGAGAATGGCGGCAGCACGGTGCGGCACACGTCCGTGTCGCTCTACCCGCAGACAAACAAGCCGCGGGTGACGGCAGCGCGCCCTGTCGGCCGGGAGTGTTCCTCGTGCTTGGCGCGCAGCAGCAACAGCCTGGCGACCGACTGGAGGAAGAAGGGGGCGCCACCGCTGCCGCACGTCTGCAACCACTGCGCGTCGGCGTCGGCAACGACGCACTTGCTGAAGGAGCAGCCGGACGCGAGAGGGCGCCACGCTCTGCTGTCGGCGGTGTAGAGAATCGAGGTGTGGTGACGTCTTGTGTTGTGAAGTGTAAAACTGTCATGGCCGCCGCCGCCGCCGCCGCGCGTGCGCAGTGAGAAACTCACCCCTCTCTCTCCGCCCACCCTCTCCCCGCGCGCGCTAGCGACTGGAGAAGACCGCGCGTGACGTCATCATCCATCTTACACGCCGTAAACGCTTTCATCTCCCTGTCGACGAAAAACACGGCGTCGCGTGACGCAGGAACGGAAAAAAGAAAACCTGCGGTAAAGAAGAAAGTGGCGGTAAACATCAAAATTGCAACGAAAAAATAAAATGGCCGGGGAAAAAAGGGGGAAAATGGCGGGAAACAACGACTGCAGACGACGGTGATCACGAAAGTTGCAGAGTGCTGCCTTTTAATCATTTGTGTCCGCTCTAAAGCTTTTTTCGTTTTCAACCCCCTAATTGGGCGAGACAGACCTTTGTGCCGTAATCGAAGACGACGAGCGTCGGAAAAGTAAGTGAGCGAAGGGAAAGAAGAGACGGTCGCTGTCCTTTGCGTTCTTTTGCGGCCGTGCCTGGGAAAACCTTCGCTCCGCACCGCGCGCGCGCTTAGAAAAGGACTTTAAGTCGGGTCGACTTGGAATTCCATCGCCGCGCAGTGAAAACTCCTTATGCCGCGAAACCGGAAACGCAATAGACCGGAGGGTCGAGACCCAGTGTCATTTCGCGGCGACAAATATATTTAAAACCGTACATATAAAATAACGGTGCGAGGGTCTATATCGCGTGGTGTGTGTGAATATAGTTTGTGACACCCGAGCGACTATATATGTGTTACGAACCTCGTCGCAATTAACGCGTTCTTCTATAATATGTTATATTCTAAGACAGGAAGATTCGTATTCTACGGAAGGAGAAGGCGAGGGGTGAACAAGCAGATTGACGGAGGAGTGAACGGAATTAAGTGATTCCTGATCCGAAAGATCTGCGAGAGAGTAGCAGACGGGAAAGTACGAGCAGACGCCGATGTTAAGTAGTGTGACGTAAAACGTCGCGCGTTGCTATGGTTACCGTAGCTTTCATTGTTACTGTGGCAACTACTGCAAATGTTAGAGCTACTGCCGTTTTCATCGGTATTGTCGTCAATGCGGTCGGTTTCGTTGCTATAGTTACTACAAGTGACAAAGTCACTGTCGATACTATTGTTACTATTATGTCCTTAATTGCTGTAATTACTACGGTGGGTTTCGTGGCTATGGTTCATGAGTCATGACATAAGTTCATCATGACGCTACTAACGCTCATAGGGTCTATGTCCCCCAGGGTACTATCGGAGGGTACCCTGGTAACTATCTGATATGGTTAGGGAGTAGGCGTAGGCGACTCCCTAGACTCGTTAGTGGAATAGGCAAGGTACGGTCCGGCATATTAGATAGTACCAGGGTACGTTCCGATATATCAAACCGTACCCAGGGTACCCTCCGATAGTACCCTGGGAGATATAGACCCTATCAGTATCAGCGCTACTAACTATAATAGCTACTAACTACTATAGCTACTAACTATACTAGTTACTAACGTTGTACTTTCCTGGCTAATATATAACGTTATCGCGGTTTTAATCGCTACTCCGTGCAACAATTATTAGATTTTAGTGTTGTCGTGTGTTATTCTTAGCACATTGTTCCTTGTCTTCTTCGCGCCATATGCTTGCCCATTGGTTGATACAAATCAAGTGCCTGAAACTCCTGTTTTAATAAAACTTTTATGGTGCATTGTGACCCTAACCCTAACCCCTAACCATAACCCTAATTAATAATTAATTAAAAAATTAACTAGATTTGTATCAACCAATGGCCATTTGGGAGGTATGTGCACAGGCCCTAGCTGTTTGTCCTAGCTTGTTTGCTGTCGCCATTTTTTGTTGGATTCGCTAATGGCGCGAGGCTAATTATTGGGCGGCGATTTCTATGGCTCTACCCTGCACAGCGACGACTCGAAGTCGCAGACATCGCAAGCACGCGTAGCAGCGTTCTCACAGGGTATTCTCCTCGCGTGCGAGTCATCTTGTATTTCAAGCGTTTTTCCTCTCCCAGCGGGCGATTGCGGAAAGAGAGAGAGAGAGAGAGAGAAAGAAAGAGAAAGAGAGAGAGGAAGAGAGAGAGAGAGAGAAATAGAAAGATGAAAGAGAGAGAGCGCGAGAGAGGGCGAGAGAGAGCGAGATGAAATGAGAGAGAGAAAAGAGTAAGTAGATAAGAGAAAGAGAGGAGAGAGGGAGGGAGAAAGAGAGGAGAGAGAGAAGAGAGAAGAGGGAGAGAGAGAGAGAGAGAGAGAGAAGTGAGAGAGAGAAAGAGAAAGAAGAGAAAGAGAGGAGGGAGAGAGAGAGAGAGAGAGAGAAAAAGAGAGAGAGAAAAGAGGGATGAGAGATGATGTGGACGAGAGAATAGAGAAACATATGAGAGAGAGAGAGAGAGTGAGTGAGAGAGAAATAGAAAGATGAAAGAGAGAGAGCGCGAGAGAGAGCGAGAGAGAGCGCGAGAGAGCGCGAGCAGGCTTCTGCAGGAATAGAACAGCTCGCTGGTCTATCGTTGACGTCAGCGCGAGTTTCGACGTGAATATAGAGGGAGCTGCCGTCGTAAATAATCGACGTCGGCCGTTATTGTTCGTCGCGTCGGCCGTCGTCTTGACAACCGTATAACTGATTAACTAGACTACGTCTACGGCCACTGTAGCGTGATTGATGTCCCCCGTAGCAAACGTACCTCTCCCCTATACATTGCGCATGCGCATGGGCATGTCCCGTAGGACGCATGGCGCAATGGGGATTTGACTTTTGCGCGCATGCGCAATGCATACGAGGGGTGTTTGCTATAAGAAGGGGGGAGTCTACCACGCTACACCGCCTTCGTCATGGTACAACTATCACTACGACTGATCAAACTATGTCAGTGCTACGTGTGTCGTCTGCGCATCTCCTAGCGCCGACTGGCAATGTATCAGCAAACGTACCCCCCTATGGTAAACTTCCCCCTCCTCCCTATACGTTGCCATCTGCATCGTACTCGGGTTGAAATTCGGGGCGAATTCGCCGTTGCTATGGTAACCCGTGAGACGCACAGCTGTCAGGCGTTCGACTCGCAGCGCGTTCTAAAATATAGATGCTATTAAAGTAGTGGCTGTGGTGTTAAATTGCTCGCCCTATATGCGCTAAAGCGGGCAGCACACTTCACCATTTTCGTTGCTCGTACAGGCAATTTTCGTAGTCGCCACAAAAATGGCCAAGTGTGCGGGGGCCGGCAACGACCACTCACCACGGAAATTTAGTGGTGACCACGAGTTGCCGAGAATCAAACCGGTTTGATTTCTCACCACGAAAATTGCTCGTGGTGGCAACTTGGTGGCAAAGTGTTCTGTGACGCGGCAACGGCCACATTGAAGTGTGCTGCTAGCTTAAGTGGGAAATATTTGCCCGGGGCAAATTTACTAGCGATGTACATGTATAAATAAACAAATATATATATATATATATATAAGTCTGTGGGTGCGCGCGTGCATGCTTGTGTGTGTGCGTGCGTGTGCGCGCACGTGTGTATAAGTTTAATATGAATAAAAATCGTTTATTGACATTAAAAATTTCCGTTTCTCCGGACTTGTTTCACTCGGTGTCGCACGAAACAAAGGATCCTTCCCCCCGTCCTTTCCCGTCCTTCCTGCTGTCTGTCGGCTGCCTCCTTCTCCCCCTCCCCCTCCCCCGTTCATCCTCCTCCGTCTTTCCTCCCCCCGTCCTTTCTGCTGTCTGTTGTCTGCCTCCTTCTCCCTCCGTCCTTTCTGCTGTCCGTCGCCTGCCTCCTTCTCCCCCTCCCTCGTTCTTCCTCCCCCACCCTCCCTCCCCTCCCACCGACCTTCCTGCTGGCTGTCTGTCGGCTACTGTAACAGTACGTCCGTCACCGACGCGAACACGTTCACACACACAATTAGCAGCAGTTCAACAACATGTCGTCGTCGACGTCGTCGTCGTCGTCGTCGGCTGCTCATTAGAAATCACATCCTTCGTCACACGCGACGTCCGGCCGACGCATCCGTCCGCCGTCGGCATGGCACGTCTACGTCGTCGGCGAAAGGTCAGAAGTCGCGCGTGGTGCAGACGTAAACACGTCGTCACGTGACCCGCGTGCCGCTAGGTGGCGCCAGGGTCGCGCGAGGAGGAGGGTGGCCGCATCCGTGTAGCTCTCAATGAAATTATTTGTATTATATAACAGTTATATATAAATATATATACATATATATATATATATACATATATATATATATTTGCCTGTGCGTGCGCGTGTGCGTGCGTGCCTGCGTGCATTTGTGTAAATAATATAGATGCTATTAAGGTAGTGGTGGTGTTAAATTACTCGTCCTGTATGTGCTAAGCGGAAATATTTGCTCGGGCAAATTTACCAGCAATATATATTATAATGCGTATATATAAATATAGATATGTATATATATATGTGTGTGTGTGTGTGCGTGCGTGCGTGCGTGCGTGCGTGCGTGCGTGCGTGCGTGCGTATGTGTGCATGTATGTATGCGTACGTGCCCCTGCCCCTGCCTGCCCCTCTCCGCCTCCCCTCGCCTACCCCATCCTCGACTGCCCCCGCCTGCTCCCTCCTTCCTCCGCTGCCCCTGCATGCCCCTCCCCCATCTCCGCCTGCCCCCGCCTTCACCCCGCCTGCTCCCTCCTACCCCACGCCTGCCTCCGCATCTCTCAATGGGTAACCATGTCATCGGAATTTTAGATTGGCAATGTCCGCCGACGAAAATGAATGTTTCCCGCCATTACTTGGCCATCCATCACTTCCTCTCTCTCCTCTCCCCCTCCCCTCCTCTTCCTCCCCCTCCCCTCCTCTTCATTTACCTCCCTTCCTCTTCATCCACCTCCCTTCTTCTTCCTCCACCTCCCTTCCTCTCCCTTCCCCTCCCCTCCCTTCCTCTCCCCTCCCTTCCTTTTCCTCCACCTCCCCTCCCCCTCCCTTCCTCTTCCC